AGACCCCCACAAATGGCTGTCAAATACCCAGATTATTCAATACCAGGGACTGCCATGTGAAAACCCCAACCTCCATATCGAGCCTTGCCAGGGTTTAAAACTGGCAACGCTTCTCCCAATGGGAGAAGGAGGACCTACTCATGATTGGAAGGAAGTCTCAGAGGAGGTCTATGCTAGCTGTCCAGACCTCCGAGACAGGCCAATTTCAAATCCTGACTGGACTCTGTATACTGATGGCACCAGCCTGGTAAAGCTAGGACAGAGACTGTCAAGCTATGCTGTAATCACAGAGACGACTGTTATCGAGGTCGGCCCCTTACCACAGCACTGGTCAGCCCAACGAGCTGAGTTATGGGCCTTAGTCCGGGCACTGCAGTTGTCAAAGGGCAAAAGAGTGAACGTCTACACCAACTCCTGGTATGCTTTTGCTACACTCCACGTACATGGGGCACTATACCGGGAGAGAGGCCTTCTAACAGCCAATGGAAAGGACATTAAGAATAAGGAGGAGATCCTGACTCTGCTAGATGCTGTCTGGAGTCCTACGGAGGTAGCAGTCATGCATTGCTGTGGGCACCAGAAGGAAGACACCCCACAGGCTCAAGGAAATAGGCTGGCTGATGAGACCGCCAGACAGGCAGCCGAGGACAGAAAGGAATCCGGGGAAATCCCCATGAGAGCATTTGTCCTAGCTGAGCTACGCGAGCTGGCCCTAGACTCCCCGACATACGCCGAGGCTCAAAACCAGCTAGCTGAAGCGGAGGGGGCCACCAAAACAGAGAAAGGATGGTGGGAGCTACCAGGTGGTAGGCTACCAGTGCCCGAAGGGATGGCTCCCTCTGGTGAGCCAAGCTCATCATATGACTCACCTAGGACATGACAAATTGGAGGAACTGATCCAAAGGTATTTTCTGGTTCCTCACCTCTCTTCTCTATGTAGAACGGAATCCCAAAATCTGCTCTCAGATGAACGCTGCTCCAGGGTGCAGACCAAAACCCCCAGGTATCCAACTAAAAGGTACCCTTCCCTTTGAACATCTGGAAGTGGACTTCACTGAGATGAAACCACATCGCCATTTTCGTTACCTGTTGGTCTTAGTATGTACATTCATGGGATGGGTGGAGGCCTTCTCCACCCGAACTGAAAGAGCGTCAGAAGTGGCTCAGAGCCTGCTTAGGGAAATAGTTCCTCGATTTGGATTCCCCACCAGCATAGGATCAGATAGTGGCCCAGCCGTCATATCAGATCTGATACAACAAGTAAGTAAGGCCATGAATATAAAATGGAAGTTACACACTGCCTACCGGCCTCAGAGCTCCGGAATGGTAGAATGAACTAACCGGACACTAAAGGAGACACTTTCTAAATGGATTATAGAGACTGACTGTTCCTGGGTGGATTTATTTCCCATGGCCTTGCTCAAACTCAGGATGACCCCACAGTCCCACGGCTACTCTCCCTACGAAATTGTGTATGGGAGGCCTCCTCCCATAATAAGACAGGTAACAACTGATATACTTCAGGTAAGAGGAGATGGGATATCACAGCAGATGGAACAACTAGGTAAGGTAATTAATTAAGTAACTAGGTTTGTGCAAGAAAGAATATCGTTCCCCTTGGGGGAGCAAATGCATGAGTTATACCAGGGGACCAGGTATGGATGAAAGACTGGAAACGTGACACATTAGCCCCCCGATGGAAAGGTCCATATACTGTTGTTTTAACCACCCCTACTGCAGTTAAAGTTGCAGGCATTGCCCCTGGGATCCATCACAACAGAGCAAAGAAGGCATACCACGCTGACCCGGAAGATGCCAAGTGGACCACCCAGAAGGACCCCACCGGCCCACGGGAAACCAAGATCATTATGAAGAGGAAGAAAGCGAGGTCCCGGATGAGCCTCTCTAGTATGGAGCTGGGTAAACGACTCCTAATACTCGGCTTCACCAACGCAATTCTGAACCTGACCACTGTTCCTGCACAGGACAACGTCATCATCTCATGGGCACATTCTTACACGGACTTTCACAACTCCTGCAACTGTTGGGTATGTGGCGCTATGCCCCTGTCAGTAATGAACGGACTCCCATGGTGGGTATCGCCACTATGTTATGGGGACTTTTTACCATTGTGCTCCTTCTTGGAACAACAGAAAGGAACTTTCCTTTCTCTCACCAATCATAACCTTTCTTTGCTCTCCTGGTGTAAGAAAAAGCCATCAATGGACTGGGGACATAGGGTTACATTTAACATGAACACTAGTCTTACGGAGGTAACAAAGGCTTATACCTCATATATGAAAAATAAAAAGGAGAGTGGCTCCCTTACAAAGGAGGGACAGGCCTCCCGGTACCTTGAGCAATACTACCAGGTCTGGGATGAATATTTCTGGATGATTCCTGAGAAAGGACAGTTGATTACTCCCGCTACTATTTGCTGGGAACAAAAAGAACACAAAGTTGGATTTGGAGACCACCTCTTAGACCCAAAAGAATTAAAATATATGGGTTATTTGTCCCCTGAACAATGTAAACAAATTTTTGAAGTTACCTATCACCCCAATCGGTCTGTTCAGTGGCCCGGTTCTGACTGGAAATATAATCCCGGAATCCGTTGGGTAGCCCACAACAGGACCCAGTGGCTCTGTGGGCTTAACTTATGGCCATGGTTACCAGTTGGCTGGGTAGGGCGTTGCACACTAGGATTTGCTTTCGCCCATGGCAGTTTTAAGCCTAGCCTACACCAATCTCCAGTAAACCTGCCCTATCTGCATGCAAGATGGACACGATCTGTGTTCCAATGGTATGACTATCTTACTGCCTTGTTTGTACCCTCTATAGGGACAACAGATATCATGGTTAAGGTAGAGGCCTGAACTAATTTCACTAAACAGGCCCTCTTAGACAGTTCAAAAGCCATTCAAGCCTTGAACGAAGAACAAATTCAGATGAGGAAGGCAGCAATTCAAAATAGGATGGCATTAGACATACTCACAGCAGCCCAGGAGGGGACTTGTGCCATAATTAAAGCCGAATGTTGTGTATACATCCCTGACCTGTCTGGAAATGTATCTACTGCCTTGGAGGATATGCAAAATCAAGTGAAAGCCATGTCTAATGAAAATATTCCCTTTTGGACTTTGGTCCTATCCTGGGTAAAGGGAGACTGGTGGAAAACTACTGCTACTGTTGTCATAATCGTTCTCATCATACTGCCTCTTACAATGCCTTGTGAATTTTGAAACCCAGAGGTTGATAGTGTTCTCTCATGTGGGTAGCCAGAGGGCTAGGGTACAATATATCGCAATAAATGATGCTCGTTACAGAAACTAGGAGCATCAAGAGCGGGTAATGAAGAAGGAATTCATAGGGTCTGGACTCCAATTTAGGCCTGTTCATGCTGATCGTGCTCGGCCACCTCTCCAGTGGACTCTGAACTCTGTGTTTAGTGTCTGTGGAAATGACAACAGAAGGATAAGTCTCCCTCCGGACAGGGGAATCTTGAAGATCATATCCAGGTTACTCATCACCTAAGAGAACAGACACTAATCACCCCTTCCTCCAGACAGGCCATAAATTTTTCTGTACCTATTGGAGTGTAACCTCATGCTTATTGATTATTGGCTAATTGTTTAACTGTCTGAGCACATGGCACATGAGTGATGGGGTTATTGGGATTGTATTTACCCTTCCTTAGTTTATGTAACTCTCAAGGAATTTGGGGCGGTGGGTTCGGACACGTACACCTGGGGTATAAAAGATTTTCACAAATGCTGCTTGGGGCCCTTGGCTAAGAGGAGATTCTGCCTTGGGCCCGCCGGTGTAATAAACTGCATTTCACTATCTGCATTGTCCTTCTGAGTGAGTTTGTTTCCCAGAACGCGTGGCTACAATAGACTGACCTGTAAGTTAAGTTTTGACAGGCACAATTTTTTTTAAAAAAGGATAAGAAAACAAGGGAGTTTACATTGCCTCACATACCTGTATGACTTAAAACTCACTGGGGAGAATTTGTGATTTTTCTTTTTATATAGCTTCAGGCTTACACATTGCTGTGCATACAGCAGAATCAGTAGATATTTGCTGAATGAGTTAATTTTCAAATCTTGGAATATTATAAGACAGCACTTACAGTATAAGGTGTGAGACTGCTTTGAACAAACAGAACATGTAACCATTGTTTGGGTTACTTCAAGGACCACATCTTGCTCAGTTTTGCTCTACTATAGCAATTAATAGCAATTTTAAAACTAGATTCCACTGAACTCTATATTCCAGTTTGTTAGTTTTTCAAACACTGCCCATCTCATATTATCTGTTCCTTTTGCCTCTAATTTCCCACTTCCACTTATTCATCATGTAATTTGTTCAGTTCAGTTCATTTCAGTCACTCAATCGTGTCTGACTCTTTGCTACCCCTCGGACTGCAGGACGCCAGGCTTCCGTGTCCATTGCCAACTCCCGGAGCATGCTCAAATTCATGTCCATCAACTTGGTGATGCTATCCGACCATCTCATTCTTTTTGTAATTTGTCAGAACCTATTTTATAAAAAGCATATCATCACCTTTTTTGGCTACTTGGTTTCTTACAAGTGTTTTATCTTCTTAATGTCTAATTTGGGAGTGGGGGGATGAAATGAAAGGGTAATCTCTCCTTAATTTAACCAAGGTTGAACTAAAATATGGATATCTGTAGAGCACCTGCTCTCCTCTGACAAACGGAGAGGGACTCAAACAGAATGGCAGCATTAGAATATATTTCACAATTTCCTATCATGAAATCTACTTATTTTCTTTGGAAAGGTCAGAGAATATAACTTTTACTGAGAAATACATTGAGAATAGAAAAATTTTATGAACTCTAATTAATAAGCAACTTGAATACTTAAAATATTTAAACATTTAAATATCATTCAAGAATTGCAGACTGCAGACTCATCAATTACATCACAAAAACACTTCCTCTGCAATGTGGATAACAAATTGAACTCTTAAGTACCTTTGAGCCCATGTCTTCTCTTTCTTTTGTTATTTCTTTTTTCAACATCTCTTTCTCAAAGGCTCTTTTTTCTTGCTGAGATGCAAGTTCTTTCTCAAGTCGGTCTGCCTGCCTCTCCAGCTCATTTTTCAACTGTTCGCATTGGATTAAAGCCTGCCAGAATAAGACAGAGTGAAATGGAACCATAGAATTTAGAAGAAATATGGGGGAAATGAGACAATTGAGCTTTAATAATATTTAAAATAGTTACAACTTAATGTAAAGTCAAAGAAAAGAATATTTTTATATTTGTTTGTCAATACTACTTGGTGATACAAATATTACATATATTCAAAAGTTACAGTTATTCACATATTTGTTTTCACAATTAAGGCTATATTAACTAATCAACTAAGAAAATCCAAGCAACAAAACCATGATAAAGGCCACAGAGGAGCTTGAATTTTATAAAAGGGGATCAGAAAATGTTCTAGTATCTTCAATTATATATCATTTTTATACTATAAGAAATACATAAGTATCTAATTTAACTGATTTTTCATTTGGACATGGTTAAAAATTATTTGCACTTTAAATGATAAATAACAAAATTTTAAGATGAGATGTGTTTGTCATTACCTAAAGGCATCTATTATTTAACACACAGTAATCAAATTTCCTTAAATATAAGTAAGATAAGATTTGGTTCACTCTCCTTACACACATAGCTAAAGTAAAAATTAGGTAATAATCAAATTTCAGTAAGGAAAGACTCAAAACAGCATTTACTACCTAGTTTTATAAAATGAGAAGTCTCATTTCATTTTGGCAATTTAAAAGTTGGTAATTGTCCTTTAGATTAAATTTCCAGAATTTATACTAAATTCTGTGTTTCCAGAAATAAGAACTCTCTAATTTCTTTTTGGCTATATTCAGAGTATCTTTATGTATAACACTCAATAAAAAATTGAATTAAAACTCTCAAGAGAAAAAAAAAATACAATTAAGGTGCTTGACTTATTAACAGAAAAATCGAAGTCATACTATGGTTTCTCAGTCTTATCCCATGTCTCCTCCCAATATCCTCCTCTCTCAACCTCTATGTTGTTCCCTTGAATTGAGAGAAAGAAACTGAAGCCTTATATGACTTATATACTGTATGCTTATAATTTGATAGTCACAGTTGTTGTTAATGGAGATGGAAGTAGTCTCAGTAAGCACTGCAAAGTTTTATGTATTGCTATGCTTCCCTCTGGTGAAAGCTATAGTAAATACAGACAATAAGTACTTAGGATATATGAATTTTCTTTCTTTTATCAAGAACTCATTAAACTCTAACTTCTTTCAAGCTCTTCTGGAAATGTTCTATACTCCCAGGCATAAAATGTGAGGATAAAATGCAATTGTCTCAGATTAATTGATAAGCAAATACAATGCCTAAAAAAAAAAGATTCTCCTAAGGAGTTAGTCCCAAATCCAATTCTAGTTGAAAATGTTTGGAAGATAAAATTTTACATTAGATTTTAAAGGAAATGGAAAAGCATCATTTTTATATAATTTAAACCATTGGAACTTGAAATATTACTAATTAGAGATTTTTGTGCTTTGGAACACAATTGCTCTGGTGTAAAGTATTTTATAAGAACCTAATAAAAGCATTCACAAGGTTCACTGGCACACGACTATCATGAAAGAATAAAATGATTATAGAATATAAACTAGTATATCTAATCAGAAGGCTTTTCATTGAATAAGAACTCAGGAATCAACCTTAATAGGTACAAGAACAGTGGAAGGAACTGCTGAAGATCAGGCTAACATGAAGAACAACGAAAGAGTCAATTCAAAGAATTTAATCAGTTCAGCAACAAGGAACAGTAAATGATCCTGACAGGTAAAAGGCCTAGTGCCAAAATGATATAAGCACAAGTGAGAAGCTATAAATCACACAAACAAAATATGTTGCTGAAGACTTGGTTTTGTGGATGGCCTTCTATGAGAAGTAGCTACCACTGAGAGGTGATGATGAGTATGAAAGCAGTAATGAAACACTGAATAAAAGTAGTAGGTTAAAAACTGGATATTGATCACTCTTGGTTTGTAACCAGTGATCCCATATAAAAATAGCTTTTAGTTTTACTGTTTTCATTTTAATATATATTCCTGGTCACAGTGAAGGAAATATTAACTAACACTTGGAATTAGAAAAGTTATTTAATCTTACAACAGACCTCATATACAAGATTTGGTTCTACTAAACAAATATGTATACATTCTTTCCATTAGGGCTTCCCTCAGTTGGTAAAGAATATGCCTGCAATGCAGGAGACCCCGGTTCGATTGCTGGGTCGGGAAGATCCCCTGGAGAAGGGATAGTTACCCACTCCAGTATTCTTGGGCTTCCCTTGTGGCTCAGCTGGTAAAGAATCTGCCTGCAATGTGGGCGACCTGGGTTGGATCTCAGGGTTGGGAAGATCCCCTGGAGAAGGGAAAGGCTACCCACTCCACTATTCTGGCCTGGAGAATTCCATGGACTCTGTAGAGTCCGTGGGGTTGCAAAGAGTCAGACACAACTGAGCAACTTTCACTTTCACTTTTTTCTTTCCATTTAAGCTTTGTCTTTAAATTCTAAGACTCCTCTCTTAGTTTTCAGAATCCCAGATGATTCAGTACTCCTTGATTATACTCTATATAACCATTTAGTAAAGGCATATAACTGAATCCTCAATGACTAAGTCAAGGAACGGCCACCTAAAATTAACTGATAGATCTTCACAGGTGACCATGTTAATTTGGGATCTGCAGCTGCCATTTCTCCTAGTAGTCCCCAAGGTCGTGGCTCCTTCTTTTCCCTGAGCACAACCCCTTTCTTGGTGGAAATGGCTGTAGGTCTTGGGGAGTTGGGGACTTAGACAACCTTCTTCCTTTTGCCCCCTTGGTTTGAGGTATTCAAAATTCAAATAAAGGCTAATGCACCTTATTTCAGTTTTTGTTAAAAATGACCTAAAATGCAGTGACCTAGATGGGAAACCTGTGTGCATGCTAAGTCACTTCAGTCGTGTCTGACTCTTCAACCCTGTAGACTGTAGCCTGCCAGGCTCCTCTGTCCATGGGGAGTCTCCAGGCAAGACTACTGGAGTGGGTGCCATGCCCTCCTCCAGAGGATCTTCCAACCCAGGGATCAAACCTCCATCTCCTGAGGCTCCTGCATTGCAGGTGGATTCTTTACCACTGAGTCACTTCCTACTGGGGGAAGCCCTTTATACATATATATATAGACACAAACTATGGGAGATAGTGAAGGACAGGGAAGTCTGGTGTGCTGCAGGCCATGGGGTTGCAGAGTCTGACACAACTTAGCGACTGAACAACAACAACAACAACAACAAATATATAGACACACATACATCCTTTATTCAGTGACTGAACAACAACAACAACAACAAATATATAGACACACATACATCCTTTATTCACATTCTTTTCAGGCAAACTAGTCTGTGTCTGCGAGTCTATTTCTGTTTCATAGATAAGTTCATTTGTGTCATGTTTTAGATTCCACATACAAGTGACATCATATGGTATTTGCCTTTTTTAAAAACTTTTTATTTTGTATTGAGGTATAGCTGATTAACAATGTTGTAATAGTTTCAGGTGAACAGTGAAGGGACTCAGCCATATATATACACATACCCATTCTCCCTCAAACTCCCTTCCCATCTAGGCTACCACATAACATTGAGCAGAGTTCCATGGAACTCTGTTTGATATAATATTTATGAAATATAATTGCTTCCACTTATTTAGCATGCAATATGCAAAATATAACACTAGATGGCAACAAATGTTAAGGAACTATAAGAACAAAGTAACCATTTCATAATGCAGTAATAAAATAGTTGATTTTAAAATCAAACTATATATGCTGTTTTGATTTTTACTCTCAAAAAGTAAAATTCCTAATATGTTTTACTATATCTTTTTTTTTTTTCATTTTTTTTTTCATTTATTTTTATTAGTTGGAGGCTAATTACTTTACATCATTGCAGTGGTTTTTGTCATACATTGAAATGAATTAGCCATGGATTTACATGTATTCCCCATCCCGGTCCCCCCTCCCACCTCCCTCTCCACCCGATCCCTCTGGGTCTTCCCAGTGCACCAGGCCGGAGCCCTCTTACACTGTTGGTGGGAATGCAAATTAGTACAGCCACTATGGAAAACAGTGTGGAGATTTCTTAAAAAGCTGGAAATAGAACTGCCATATGACCCAGCAATCCCACTTCTGGGCATACACACCGAGGAAACCAGATCTGTTTTACTATATCTTGATGATAATTATTATACTTGCACTGCATTTTGTAAACTGCTTAGAAATCAATCCTGGCATAAATACTAACTCAGTGAAAAACAGATTCACAATACACAATAGGCTTTCTAGTTATTAAGCACTGAAATATTAAATCATAAAAATTATTTAAAAAATTCATACTAGTACTTAAAGTTAATAGTTAACTTTATTTCAATTCAACAAACATTTATGGTACAATTAATATGTAAATAGCCATTGTGAAGAATACAGTGATAGATGTGACAGGCCTGGTTTTTAAGGTCTTCTCATGGAGAGAACTATGTACACAGCCACAAAAATTATACACAGCTCATTAGGGATACAGAGAAGGAAGGGATTAATTCGAACAAGAAGGGATTGGAAAAAACTTTTGGGAAGATTGCCACCTGAGATGACTCTCATAGATTGAATAGGTGAATATAGTGCAGAAAAGTACAACACGAGCAAATTCATGGAAAGAGTTGATATAGGTCACATTACAGAAACAGCACAAGTTATATGAAACGTGTACTAAAAGATAAGGCTAGAAAAGTTAGAGTAGGACCACATTGTGAAAGACCTGGAAGGTTATGCTAAGGATTTGTCTTTTATTCTACTGCAAGGGGAGAGCTGCCCGAATAGGGAGATTTACAATTTAGGAAGACTTTGGCAGTAAAATGAAAGATATACTGGGGTTGAAAGAGACCTGAGGGAGACCAACAGAAGGTTATTCCAACAGGCCACACAGGCTGCATAAGAGTACGCGAAGACTTGAACTAGGGCAAAGGTACAGGAATGGAAATTGCAGGGATAACTTAGTGAGGGTCTCTGAGGAGAAGGTGCGAGTTTGGTAACGGATTGGATATTGAGAGTGAAAAATGGGGAGGAGCCAAGGTATTTTAAATGATCTAAGCCAGAACTGTTGGTAAGATGATAATACCATTATCTGAAAGAAGATAATATGGAAAACTGTAGAAGGAAAAGGAGTGACAGACAGTAAGGAGGAGAGAATTAACATTGGAGTTTCAGATGCTAATGGCATATCGTCCATATAAAGAGATCCAGTAGCAGCTATAAATGTAGGTCTGGGGCACAGGGGAGCTGCTAGAGCTAAAGACACAATGTGGGAGTGTTCAGTGAGAGGAAGACACAAAGTCCTGGAAATTAGGGCAACATGGGTGGAAGTCTAGGAACAAAATGAATAATATCTGCATTCTAGGTGTGTGGAAAACAAGTTAAAAGGCATGTGGAAGAGTAGAGAAGAGCAATGCAAAGATGACCCACAGAATGAAATACCAAACTAATCAAGGAGAAAAGAAGATGTTATACTAGGACAATTAATGGCTTACTGGAGTTGAGTCAAATGAGGACTAAGATGAAGTCACTGGGTTCAGCAATCAGGAAGTGACTGGTGACCATAATGTGACCAATTCAGTAGTATGAAATCAGGCTACAATTTGTTGAAAGCTTGACTGCAATGTGTTCAAAAGTGAATGGAAAGCTACAAAGGTAAAAACAATGGAGAAGGAAGGATGGAAGATATAAGAAAGATATGATAACAAATGGTTTAGGGTCCCTGAAACCTTGGGAGTAGGAGATATCAAGAGCTGGGAGAGATTCATCTTGGAAAGTAAGAGGACCAGATAAGCAAGAAAACAATGAGAAGACACATTTGTGAGATGATGTTTTGAAGAGCCTCTTGTCAGTTGGTTGTGATCTCAGTTATAGGAGGTCAGCTATGAGAGTGAGGTGCTTAGTTGGGAAAATGAAGAAAGTAAAAATTGTTTGTTAAGTCAACAAATAGATATTAAAAAAAAAACTTGCAATTAGTAATTGATTGGAAGCCAGGTATAAAAGAGAGGATGACATCCAGGTTTCCAATTAGGACATGACAGTGGACAAAAGTGCCGTTCAGTAGGTAAAGAATACAGCTATCTTGATGGAGTGAATATAATTAGTTTAGCTTGAAATTGTAAAATTCACATCTAAATGGAAAGGGAAGAGGGCCAGCCTGGATGTAATAGAGAAAATGAGGTATGTGAGGAGGTAGAAGAGGACACTGAATAGATTTAACTGAGATAGGGAGGAAGAGAAAAGGCTCTGGTCAGAGAGATCAGTTTTAGAGTTTGAGATCTCATGGACACTTCAGTTCATGTGGGAGTTACAGCAGAACAGAAAAAAATCTTAGAGTTAAGGAAGACAAAGTGTGTTGGGGACTAAGATGTTGCATATGTTAATAGCATGGATGTTGAAACCTTTCAGAATGATGAAAAGAGACAGAGTGGAGGATGCTATGAACTGAATGTTTGTGCTTTTCCAAAATTCATATGTTGAAACTTAACCCTAACATGATGGACTTAGATAGTGGGCCCCATGGGAGGTGATCAGGTCATGAAAGCAGAGTCCTCATGAATGGGATTAGTGCCCTTATAAAATAGACGCCAAGAGTTCTCTTGTCCCTTCCACCATGTGAAGACATAGTGAGAAGACAGAAAGTGAGCTCTGACCAAACACCAAATCTGTTGGTGCCACGATCTTGAACTTCCAGAATTGTGAGAAATAAATGTTTGTTGTTTAAGCCACCATGTCTAAGGTATTTTCATTATGTTAGCCTGAAAGGACTTAGACAAGAGAAAAAAAGGGTCAGAGGTTAAGTTGTTAAAAAGTGTCAAAGATCTTACAATTATTTTATAAATCCAAGTATAAAAGGGATGATTTTTTTAAAAATGTGTCAAATAGTATCTTCTAGATTGAGTGTTTAAGTCGATTAAAATTAGAGAGAGGAGAATCAATGATGATTTCAAAGAGAAGTGGTAACCTAATTTCAAAGAAGAATTAAGCAGGACTTCCTGGTAGTCTAGTAGATAAGACTCCACGCTCCCAATACAGGGGGCCTGGGTTTGATCCCTGGCCGGGGAACTAAGATTCCCACATACTGCAATTAAGCCTGCTGCTACAACTACCAAGCCCACCCAGTCTAGAGCTCACACACCACCACTAGAGAGGTCCATGAGCCACAATAAACAGTCTGTGCACCACAGCAAGCACAGGCAAAAGAAGTTTTATATAATAAAAGTAGAAATGTAATAAAAGTAGAAAATGTAATAAAAGTAGAAAAAAACCTATTTTTAAAAAAAGAGGAATAAGGAGTAGGTACCATAGAAAACTAAGATCATGGCATCTGGTCCCATCACTTCATGGGAAATAGATGGGGAAACAGTGGAAGCAGTGTCAGACTATTTTTTTGGGCTCCAAAATCACTGCAGATGGTGACTGCAGCCATGAAATTAAAAGATGCTTACTCCTTGGAAGGAAAGTTATGACCAATCTAGATAGCATATTAAAAAGCAGAAACATTACATTGCCAACAAAGGTCTGTTTAGTCAAGGCTATGGTTTTTCCAGTGGTCATGTATGGATGTGAGAGTTGGACTGTGAAGAAAGCTGAGTACCGAAAAATTGATGCTTTTGAACTGTGGTGCTGGAGAAGACTCTTGAGAGTCCCTTGGACTGCAAGGAGATTCAACAAGTCCATCCTAAAGGAGATCAGTCCTGGTGTTCATTGGAAGGACTGATGCTGAAGCTGAAACTCCAATACTTTGGCCACCTCATGTGAAGAGTTGACTCACTGGAAAAGACCCTGATGCTGGGAGAGACTGGGGGCAGAATGAGATGGCTGGATGGCATCACCGACTCGATGGACATGAGTTTGAGTAAACTCCGGGAGTTGGTGATGGACAGGGTTGCGATTCATGGGGTCGCAAAGTCGGACACGACTGAGTGACTGAACTGAACTGAACCATAACAAAGGCCTGGAAATGGCAGTATGGGGCGATATGAATGCTAACCTCCTCCATCATAGCCAAATGAGATGAGGTGAACAGCAAAGGGCTCCACTGGGGGTTTTGAGGGTCATAATACCAGCAAGGGGCAGCTAGAGTTCATTACAAATGAAGAAGTAAGAGTGTTTGAAGAAACAATAAAGTATATTAGGGTATTTGGTCAGAGTGAACATTACTTTCAAAAGGCACAGGGGCACTATGAAGGTCAAATGGTCTAGGAAGAGTTAAAGATGAACTGGACAGAGAGAAAGGGATAAGGCAATGACTGAGGAGAAGTTTAATATGAAGTTGATTAGCCCAATAAAATAGTGATGCTACTATATGGCTTAGACCAATGCCATCTAAGAGCATTTGTTGTGATAATGGAAATGTCCTATATTACACTGACTAATGCAGTAATCACCTACATGTGGCTATTAGGTACTTCAAGTGTGGCTAGTGTGTCTACAGAAAACACACAGCAACTTTAAGGGTTTAAGGTGTGGCCCCAAACAGCGATGAATCAACAGTAACCTCCTACTATTCAAAGTGCTTAGAACACTGCCTGATCACTGTGTTAACTATTACTGACATTAGCATTACCATTAAATGTGTTTGACTTAAGCACACAACGGATACCAATTCACAGCTAAAGATGCTATTAAGTACATGTATATTTATTATTGTGGTATATTTGAATGTTCTCAAAATTTCCCAGGGACAGAGAAAAAACATCTGTCTTCAGTCATATATGAACATACAAAAATAGGTCACTATGGGTGTTAATAGTTTCACTTAGCATTAAAAATTATTGGCAAATGAAAAGGTTAAGCATCCAATTCTCTCAAAGTACCATATTACATTGTACTGTTCTTTCATTAGTGATATAGCAAGAGAATTTTCAGAGGAATAAGAATTTGCCAAAGAGCAAATTTGTTTAATTTAGAAATTCAACACTAACAAACTGGTTTCCACCTTGTGTGTTTGGAAAAAAAGTTTAGTTATGGAGGATAACCAAATAAGTACTCAGAAAAGGAAAAAAAAAAAGGCAATTAAGGCATGCTTTCATTTTAATCTTATTAGACTTGCCTTAGTTTTTTCAAAACTGGCCTCCTCAGTCATTTTCACAGCTTGTTTCACCTGCTCATAAGCACTTGCTTCTCTTTGCTGCACCTCTGTCAAGCTGCTCCTCACGGAAACTAGCACAGACATTAAGTCATCTCTTTCTCTGTCAGCACAAAAAGAACATTGAAAACAAGAAATGATCAAATGGTCAAGTATTCCTAAGGCAGGGAGAAAAAAGCATTGATGTGTATTAGAAGAAGAGCCAGGGCAGGCCAGCCCAGCACATGTTCAAGCACACCCCAGAGAAAGACCCTCTGTGCTCACTTGGTGAGGGGCAGGCAGAACGGCCAGAAGAGCAGGGAGCATTCATGGCAGGACTGCATCCGCGTGGGGAAACAGCCCATGTGGACAGGAATGGCACATGAGGGCTGCAGAGGGAAGCCCAGAAAAGAGGAAATTAGCTAAAAAACTAAGTGTAGGTGGCAGAAAAGGAGAAAAAAAACTAATAAAGTAGTGAAGATGTGAAGGTAGCTCAGTTGTGTTAGACTGTGACCCTATGGACTGGACGATACCGTCCATTGAATTCTCCAGGCCAGAATACTGGAGTGGGTAGCCTATCCCTTCTCCAGTGGATCTTCCCCACCCAGGAATTGAACTGGGGTCTCCTGCATTGCAGGTGGATTCTTTACCAACTGAACTATTAGGGAAGGTAGGAATCGCACCTCAAAGGAGAAGTAACCATGGTAAGAAGGGACTAATGAGGTTTCATTTACACTACTGGCTCTCCGCTCTACTAGAACGGACGTGTCTTTTTTTCTTCTCATCTTCCTTCACAACCCTCTTTTTGACACTTCTTGGCTTCCCTGGTGGCTCAGATGGTAAAGCACTTGCCTGCAATTCAGGAGACTCAGGTCCGATCCATGGGTTGGGAAGATTCCCTGGAGAAGGAAATGGCAACTCACTCCAGTATTCTTGCCTGGAAAATTCCATGGTTGGAGGAGCCTGGTAGGTTCAGTCCACAGAGTCTCAAAGAGTTGGACATGACTAAGCGGCTTCACTTATGAATGAAAAACTTTCACCTACTTATGAAAGTATTTCTTCTTTCAATGGGTAGTACTGTTAAGATTACTCAAATACCTTGATTACATATAATGCTCATTATTTTACAAAATCTTACCCCCCCTAGGTTTGATCATTGCCTGGCTCTACCCCCTTCTCAGCAATTCTCATAGCTATGTCACTTCAGTCATGTCCGACTCTGTGTGACCCCATAGACGGCAGTCCACCAGGCTCTGCCATCCCTGAGATTCTCTAGGCAAGAACACTGGAGTGGGTTGCCATTTCCTTCTCCAATGCGTGAAAGTGAAAAGTGAAAGTGAAGCCGCTCAGTCGAGTCTGACTCTTGGCAGCCCTATGGACTGCAGCCTACCAGTTTCCTCCGTCCATGGGATTTTTCCAGGCAAGAGTACTGGAGTGGGTTGCCATTGCCTTCTCCGATTCTCATAAAACTAAGCTATTTCTTGGGGACAGAACTGAACTGAATGCCAAAATGCTTTGGCATGTAAAATGTCAGCAAGGTTCCAATCTCATGGATTAATTTAAGTAAATTCCACATAAAAGATTTCAGGATATCTGGAACTCATCCACTGGATAAAAATGATCAGTAGATCCCCCCAAAAGTGAGGTGGGAAACTTTCTATTAAAACAAAACAAACAAAAAAAGTAAGTTGGACTGTTATTTATGCTATTCCATGCTTTGCTAAAGAGCTCAAGTTTTAAACTGTGATTTCAAATTCAGTTGAGGTAACTGATGTAGCTTCCTTTTCATTGCCAAGTTCTGAACTATTGCTAAACAGTCAACTGTGTAAACTATTAATAAAGAGTAAATTTTAAGAAGTCCTAACTTAAAAATGAAATCTCTGAGTTTGAATTACTTTCAAAATTAACCAACGTCTTGATTAAAAAATTTTCTTAAAAATAAAATAATTTAAACTATCTGTGGTATTTGGAAAACAGTCATATTTTAAAAAATATGTAATACTGAACAAAGTTACATTATTAACAGTTTCATAAAAGCTCTTTGTTTTTTTTTTTAAAGCTCTTTTTGTTAAAAAAAGAATAAATTGCTGCAAGTATCATAAAATTTGTGGGAGCATAGTGATCTTCATTTTAGAATTTTCTGATTTATTTATTTCCTATTTATTTTCAATTGAGAAAAATAATTTTTTTGTCTAAAGGAAATGAAAAAGGAGTGAATTATTTTGATCAAATATAATCAAACACAATAATTATGTGAAAAAGTGGAAGAATCTAAGCAAGATTATTCTGGTTGAATAAAAAATATTAAGTAAAATGCAAACAAAATCAAATTCATATTTATTTGCATTTCAGAAAAGGTTCTAACATAAAAGGGACTAGCTTCATTGAGAATATGCAATCCAACTAGAACCTGTGTTTCTAAGTAGAAAATAAAAATTTACTCTTAAGGATAACACGTCAACATCATAGAGTTACCTTTCCTAAAGTTCTAGACCTACTAAAAAACCAAAATCACTATTCAATGATACTCTTAACTGTTCCTAATACTATACCACCATCAAACCTGAAGTTACAAATAAAAAGATTAACAAAAAACCTCAGAATATTTATTAACAGACAGGCCACAATAGGATCAAGTTTCTAACAAATTTGCTTCTTACAGGAGACTTACACTTAATTTATTTAAACTATTTCTAGTATACCCTCTTGCTGACAGTGTCTGTCACATAGTACATACTCAATGAAATAAATGACAAAAGAACAAATGAATGAATAATGACTTTGCTACTGGAGGGCATCAAGGAGGTTAAGCAAAATTTTGTCCCAGTTCTAATATTTTACAGTTAAAAAAATTTTTTTATGGCTTCAAAGCATAGGGAATCTTAGTTCCCCCAAAAGGGATTGAATCCATGTTCCCTGGCCGTGGGGGCAGGGGTGGGGGAACGTGGAGTCTTAACCACAGGACTACCAGGGAAGTCCCCTATGTCAAAATTTAAAAAGTCACTAGACTATTTAGAACTGGAAACAAAAGAGTTTAATTTCTCTGGATCAAAAATTTTTCAGAATATGAACTCACCAATTTCAGACTATTTAATGACAAAAAATCATCAAAGATAAACCCTCAAATACCGTGGTGGCTCAGACAGTAAATAATCTGCTTGCAATGCAGGAGAACCAGGTTCGATCCCTGGGTCAGGAAGATCCCCTGGAGAAGGAAATGGCAACCCACTCCAGTATTCTTGCCTGGAGAATCCCACGGACAGAGGAGCCTGAAGGGCTGCACTCCATGGGGTCACAAAGAGTCAGAGACGACTGAGCAACTAACACACACACACACACACACACACACACACACACTGATGTTTTGTTAAGGTCATCATTCAACAGTGAATCTGTAAAAGGATTGTACTAAAAATTCGTGCAACCACTGGACTGACACACTCCAATTTTCTGTAGAAGAAATGTAATATATGTTTCAAGGTGGCCCTCAGACCATCTGAAAAGTTCAGGAGAGATACTTAAATCACACATATGCTTACAGGTGCCACTAACAATTTTGGCAATTTAGGACTATCTAAATTTGGCAATTTAGGGCTTCCCTGGTGGCTCAGATGGTAAAGAATCTGCCTGCAATGTGGGAGACCTGGGTTCAATCCCTGGATCTGGAAGACCCCCTGGAGAAGGGAATGCCTACCTGCTCCCAGTATTCTTGCCTGGATAATCCCATGGATGGAGGAGCCTGGCAGGCTATATATAGTCCATGGGGTTGAAAAGAGTTGGACATGACTGAGAGACTAACACACAGGACTATTTACTCAGTCACTGCATTTTTGTTTTATTTGTTTTGTTTCAACTTAACCAGCCCACATAACAAATAGCAAGCACTTGAAAAAACAACTCTGGGTATGCTAGCCCTGTCCTCAATATAAGGCGTCCCATGGGGCTCACTAGGTAAAGAATCTGCCTGTAATGTACGAGATGCAGGAGAGGAAGATTTGATCCCTGGGGTGGGAAGATCCCCTGGAGAAGAGCATGGTAACTAGATCCAGTATTCTTGCCTGAAGAATTTCATGGACAGAGAAGACTAGCAGGCTACAGTCCATGGGGTTGCAGAGCTGGACTCGACTGAAGTGAATGAACATGGACGCAACATAAGGCCCTGCTTCCTGTCCCATTTCTGTGTTCATCTGGCTGACACCTTCTTGAGTTTTTTCTCCTCTACTTGAGCCCCATGCTACCACTCATTATCTGTCCTTCAGAAATGGTCAGTTCTGGCTACCCAGATTACCTACTCAGCCAGCTGCAGTGCTGCTCCTAGTCCACAGCGCCAGCCCAAAGCCAGGCCTGAGCAAGCCTCTTACAGTGAGGAGTTGTACAAACCTACATGATATATCAATGTGACAGTGAGAAGGCAGTTCTCCAAATTACCATCTCCCATGGCAAAAGTTCTTTAACTGCTTAAAAACACCAAGGGAATGTTTTGATGAGTGTGATCAAGGAGTTCTCCAACAAAGCAACCAATACAGCATTAATCCTGCAACATGCCATGATGCAGATGATAGAACAGCTGAGGCAGAAAATGAAGTAAGAAGCAGGGGTGTCGGTTCTAGGATGAACTAACAATCGTGTAGTATTTAAGGAAACTAGTATTTAAGGAACCTAGAGCAACAATCAGAGCAAAAAGGACTGAGAAAGTCTCTGAATAATCTTGGCCAATGTTTATAATAAGGATAAGAGAGGAGTTGGTCTGATACATACATGAGCTTCATCTTGAAATATGGAGTACTCCATATTTAATTCCTTCAATTCCTAAGCTATTCCACAGTTATTAGCAGTTTTAAGCTTTATTAAACATCACTGCTTTTTAAAAAAAGTCTAGAAGGCTGACTACAACATTCCTTTGTTCCTCATTTCTGGGAGGTTCCCACTACAGTCTTTCTTTTTCTTTTGGTTTTCTGTGTATGTGTGTAAGAGAGATGATGAATTCTCTCTTATTCTTAAGCAGTTAGTCTTAGTTTTTTAATTTTCTTTTGTAAAAACTGAAATACAGTTGCAAAGCAAGCTATACAGAAGATTGCCAATCACCCATTCCCAAATCACAAGCTGGACTGAAGTCCCAGGATA